GTCCCTGCCCCTTGTGGGACAGGCGTGGCCAGGGAGGGCCGGAAAACCAGCAAGGGCCGTCCGGGGGCTCCGAGGTGAGGCAGCCAGGCCCAACCAGCTCTGCAAGATAAAAAGAGGAGCCACCCTCATCCTGTGGCACCTGGGGATGGGGCTCAGGTGACAAGACTGTGGTGGTGCCACGGGAATGCCAGGATTCTTCCAGCTCTAAGGATTTTGTGAACTGGGATTATTCCCTCCCCAGGTGTGAAACACCCCAGAGATGCTCCAGGACACGTCTGATATCTGTTCTTCCCTTTTATTGAAAAAAAACAACCCAAAAAAATCTCTCTTTTAAAAAATGCCAGTTTATAGAAGGTACGCGTGGAATGGGAGACGCCAGAAGGGAACTGCAGGACAGACAGACAGACACAGCTTGGAAAATCTTTTACACTTTCTGAGAAGCTTCGTGGCTGAGCACACAGAAGTAGCATATTTGATTCTCCCCCCCGACACATAAAAGGTTTTTATATAAAACAATCCTCTACCCCCCCCTTAGATAAATACAAAAATAAAGCGAACTGGTTTGCGAGGGGATGGTTGTTTCACAGAAGGGTTTTGTCCTGAACTCCTACCAGAAATGGAAAGGTGGGATTGGAAAAGGCCCCTGGGCACAGAGCCATGTGATAAAGCACTGCCAGGTAACGCAGGGACGCTGGGGCAGCATTGGTGATGTGTTTCCCCTCCTGAGGGTCCCCAAAATCCAATTTTGGAGTCTGCCTCAGAGCCTGGAAGGCAGGCACAGAGACCAAGCTTAGCCATGAGCTGCAACAAATCTTGGGTCCAGTATTAAAATTCCTGCTTATCCAAAATGGAATAGGACTTCAGGACAAAAACAGAGGCCATGATTCACTTTCTTTGCCATTTGACTTTATTGGTGTTACTTTAGCAGGCTGCTGGGAGGCGGCTGGGCTCCGAAATCACTTTGTTTTCCTCTCCAGGGCCAGGCTGTCGTGCAGCTTGGACACCTCTGGCTCGTAGGCCTCCATGACTAACGTCCCGTTGTTATCAAAGAACTTGGCAATGGACTTGGTGAACTCGGCTTCCCTCTGCTGCTTGGTTTTCCCGCTGATGAACGTCAGCTTCAGGGTGTACTTGTCATCGAACCTGTGGGAG